AAGTTTAAAATAAGTACTGTTACCTTTGTTCTAGTAATATAAAAGATTATTTCGCATTACAGAAGCAGAAATTTATCACCGATCAATGAACGAACTAAAGAAAGAAGAGAAGACAATGACAAAAATAAATTTTTATCTAAAGAAAATTCTAGTCATTTGCGCGAGTCAAAGAATCACATGTTTCCAATATCATTCACGAAGTATTCTCCTTCACATAGCTATTATAATTCCTATATGGTGGTAAGTGCAACTAACTTTGATATCCAAAAAAAAACTGAGTAAATATTTTGGTTTGAATCACTCAATATTGAAAAAAAATATTGAATTATGAAGGATTGAATATTGAATATTGAATATTGAATATTGAAAGATTATTTTAATTAATCGATTTTAATTAATTGATTAAATATTAGGTTGCTACAGATGAAATGGCCGTTTTTTATCATTCAAATTTCCTGACTAAATAGTTCAGCATTTTTCATGCAATTATTGTATATGATATTTAAAAAATATATGCTTCACACATGAATTTGCGCGTCTGACCTTTATCACAATATTTGTTGAAAATCGCTATTTTTTTCGACATGGGAAATAAAGAAATATGGATAATGTTCTTGTACGAATTCAAACTTATCATAGTGCGGCTGAGGCAAAAACATGAAGCAAAAACGCGAAATATGAATACTTTTTGATGAAGGTTCTATAAGTGACCGAACCAGACGTTGACTTGAAAAAATTCGGTTTGATGATATGAACTTCGACAATTTACCTCGCGGCCATCAGTAGTTGATGGACAATGTTTTGAAAAACATGAATCTGTTTTGAAAAACAGACTTGCGTTTATCAGTACAAAATATTGCACACAGCATTAGCGTTCACTATTTGACTGCTTCGACACTACAAAATCATGGAAAAAAAACTTAATAAATAGGTACCAAATAGGTGAACTGATAAGCTTCACTGCATGAAAATCGGTTCCTCTTTGCTTTCTCGACACAATATAATAGAAGGAATATTGAATCGAATAGTGACATGTAATGAAAAATGGATTCTTTATAACAATCGTCGATGTTCTGCACAATAATTAGATATTGATCAAGCTTCGAAATACATGCTGAAACCGAGCTTTCATCCACATAAGATTTTAGTGTCTCTATACTGGTCTGTTAAGGATACATTTTTGACAAAAAATTGAAACTATAAATACTGACAAATACTTAAGCCAAGAAATTGACGATTGTGATGGAAAAAAAATGCGTATTAAATAGGGGCAATATGTTATTGCTCTATGATTATGCTAAACTGCATGTTGCAAAACAAACTGTAAAAATATTAGCAAAATATAAATGCGAAGTTCTCCCTCACTCTCCTTACTTTCCTAACCTTTCTCCAACAGATTACCATTTGTTTAAGCATTTGGAAAACTTTTTAAGTAAAAAAGTATTTCAAATGATGATGTAAAAAATGCATTCAATGAATTTTTTGCATTTTTGAGGTGGATGGAAATTATTTCGATTAATAAGATGTGTATAAAGTGTGTCGAATAAAAGTTTAAATTCAGCTATTAAACTTTTAAAACAGCTATTTCATCTGCAGCAATCTAATATTCAAGTCACATTTCTCATAATGTTTGCTTCAGCATTTACCTAGACCAATGCCGATGCCCACCAGAATACAAGCACCACCAATAGTTATGCCCGTCCTCTCGGAACTAATTCCTGCGCCATTTCCACCGATGAATATCCATTGGCATCAGTTTTCTCCCAGTAAGTTTGTATCATTGTAATTTTATGTATTTAAATTGATATAACACAAGCGAAATTTTACAGGATTTGTCAGTGGCAGAGGAAGCAATCACATACACAATCCACATTAATCAATATTAGTCGCGCGCGTATATAAAGTATCTGAAAAGAATTTTATACATACCTTGATAAACCAGCAGAAATAGATTTTGAACAACTATATTATCTAGATATTATATTCTGTCAGAAAGGCAGCAAATTTCAAACAGAATAATTTGTAATATCTGATAATGTCGACAAACTACTGTCAAAAATATGACAAATTGCTAACATCCCAGTAAACGAAAATGGATTAAAATTTTCAGAAGTATGTATTCGTAAACATTGAAATGAATCCATATCAATGCTCATTACGTTTGTATTAATTTATAGGAATTGAATGAAACATATTTTTATACCTTTCAATCCAGAAATAGATTCAGTCTTAAAAAGTGGATCGTGAATACTGTTCAATTCAAAATTCTGGATAGGAAATGCAATTTTTCAATCCAATATAAACCAAATTCAATCCAATTTAATTCAATTAAATATAAAAAAGTTTTCCGTATGTGTGTGTGCGTGCGTGCGTGCGTGCGTGCGTGCGTGTGTGTGTGTGTGAAAATATTATTATACATATCAACGAATACAAAAGCACTGAACATTGAAATGGATTCATTTCATGTTGACGAATGTGTGCTTCTGAAAATTTCAATACATTTTATTTATTTTCGTTTACTATGGGATGTTATGTCAATTGGCAGCAGAAATCAAGTAGAATCTGATATGACGGCCTAAAATGGCGGCAGATTAGCAGCAAAAATCAAATAGATTTTGCGTCGCGGAGTCTGCTTGATTTCTGCTGCTAATCTGCTGACAGCTAAAACTGCTAAAATTAATAGATTCTGTCAACATAACATGCGGAATATGATCTCGGATGAAGTCAACCTACTAACGTTTTCTGACTAGGTGTTAAATCTGTTGCCAGATTGCCGATATTTCGCTAACATTTTGCTGACTAGGTGGGTGTATGCATACGTGCGTGCGTGTGCGCGCGCGCGCGTGCGTATATAAAATACTTAGATTATTTCATGTATCTTCGATTGCAAGAGGTTTTGATATGGGTTAATGCCATTATAATGTACTTCCTGCTTTCCTGTTTTTTTTCCCAACGCTCGTATTCTGTTTTCATCTCATTTTATATGCATAAATTGCAGTATAATGGCATAACCGAATTAAAAGTCACTGCTATCGAAAACATCAGTTTAACATTACATTAACAACTACGTGCCTTATATAAATTTTAATTCTAATGATTATTGGGATAATAAGTATCTCAATTTTAATAAGATTTATTTTAATAAGGTTATTTTAATAAGGTTTTCTTAAATTGACTTTTTTTACTGTAGTAAATAAAAACATTTTACAATATGGATGATAATATTCACAACATTTATTATCCAATAATAGAATAAACAATTATTTTTAATGTAATACGATGTAATCTGAAGATTTGAAGAATGTTTAATTTCACATTATAGATAATTTCAATTTATAGAATTTTATTTTGAGATACTTATATTCTACTTTGTTTCATCCTTTTAATTTTTGAGAGTTTAAATTTTCATCATTAATACATTTTTAGATTTACAATCTGCTAAATATACAATGTAATGTTCTCTCCAATTTTCTTGTAATTGTAAATTTGTGTATTTTCATGTATAGAATATATTTTTAGAAGAAAAGTCATCATTCAAGTCTCAAAAAGAATATTAAATTTGCTTTAATCTACATAAAGAGAATAAAGAAGCTATACATTTTAAATTATAAATATGCTCTCTCTCTGTCTCTCTCTCTCTCCCTCCCCCTGTGTGTGTGTGTGTGTGTGTGTGTGTGTGTGTGTAGTGTAGTGTCGTGTAC